TACGATTTACTACGCGTAACTCAAGTTGGTTGAGCTACGCGTAGTAAATCGTAGGTATTCTAAAGCTGGTAAAGGACGAATTTTCCTTGTTTATTGAAGTCACACTCCTTCCCTATTATCTACTTCTGATATATATCCTATTTCCTATTCCTATTTCCTATTTCCTACTTTCTAGCTGCTGATGTTTGCTACTAGCTATAATATACCACTATAGAGTCACTATAGATAGCTGCTCGCAGTGTGTCCTTAGTGATAACCGCTGCTTGCAATATCATAGAGAAGGTGATGAATCTATTCGATATTATAATAACTAATTAACTAGTAGTTCCGTCTGTGTTCTGATTTTCTCACAACGCCATCCACCCCTATACGTCGTACCTTTGTTAGGTGACCTTCAACCCATTGACCTCCCGCTTGACTCCAAAGGTGACGCTGCCCAGAATTAATGACTACTTTATTCTAAAGTAGGCATACCTTTATTCTAAAGTATTCATAAAGAATCAGTACCGGATTCTTATAATGACCTATGGAAACAGTTGGTCCCTGCATGCGTCGACATTATGTTGATTCGTCGTTCGTGCCGTTTCAGGGCAGTATGAGGAGAAGCTTACAGAGAATGAGTGCACTGCTGGTGCTATGCCTGCTCATGCAGGAATTTCACCTCAGCATGCAGTGGCAATTAATGAGTGCAAACATCAAGCCAGAGACGAGACGGCGCAGGCATGCCGACAGCAACCTGAACGTAAGTCGATGCGATGATAACAGCATCAGTTACAAATCATGATGGAAAAATTTAATCGAATCTCTATAGTTCAGAGGAAAATAAAGTTCATCTGAGTTCGATCCCATAATAAAGTTATAAAAACTTACACTGACGAAGTTTTCGTCTATCTCACCGATAGACTTCTTCAGACCTATCGTCCGCGTAAGTTTTTATAACTTTATTATGAATCTAAATAATCAGCATATACTCAAACCTTTATGCGCGTGCGTTTATGTTGATGTTCATGTTAATATTGATGTTCATGTTGATGTTCATGTTGATGTTCATGTTCATGTTGATGTTCATGTTGATGTTCATGTTGATGTTCATGTTCATGTTCATGTTCATGTTCATGTTGATGTTCATATTGATGTTCATGTTCATGTTCATGTTGATGTTCATATTGATGTTCATGTTGATGTTCATGTTGATGTTCATGTTGATGTTCATGTCATACACATGTGCTTAATATATGTGTTATTTTTGCCAACAGGAGGTTCTGGGAGCCAGTGCTCTTGCGCTTGCGAGTCCAGCACGTGAGAAAAGATGTATGTATGTATGTATGTGTGTGTGTGTGTGTGTGTGTGTGTGTGTGTGTGTGTGTGTGTGTGTGTGTGTGTGTGTGTGTGTGTGTGTGTGTGTGTGTGCGTGCGTGCGTGTATGATAGTTTTACGATGGTTTTACGATATTTTACGATAGTTTTACGATGGTTTCACGACAGTTTGACGATAGTTTTACGGTAGTTTTATGATAGTTTTACGACAATTTTTTGTCGGTAGTTTTTTGGTAATTTTACTATAGTTTTACGGTAATTTAATGCCGGGTTTATCGTCCTAGCTGTCGCTGGGATCGCTCGACTCACGACCTTCTTCAGGACCGTAGCACCGCTGGCAAAGTTCATCGCGCCAGGAGTGAAGGCCAGCGCCTACATCGTCGAGATCGGGTTATTCGCCATACATTTTGTACGCCTGGTGAGTGCAAGGGGCGGCGCGGTGCCGAATTAGTCGTGGATGATTGTCATTATGATGGTAGTAGCTGTTAGTACTATCAGGAGTGTATCAATAATCAATCAGGAGTCCTGGTACTATGGTAGTAGGTGTTATAGTACTATGGTAGTAGGTGTTATAGTACTATGGTAGTGGGTGTTAGTACTATGGTAGTGGGTGTTAGTACTATGGTAGTGGGTGTTAGTACTATGGTAGTGGGTGTTAGTACTATGGTAGTGGGTGTTAGTACTATGGTAGTAGGTGTTATAGTACTATGGTAGTGGGTGTTAGTACTATGGTAGTGGGTGTTAGTACTATGGTAGTGGGTGTTAGTACCATGGTAGTAGGTGTTAGTACTATGGTAGTGGGTGTTAGTACTATGGTAGTGGGTGTTAGTACTATGGTAGTGGGTGTTAGTACCATGGTAGTAGGTGTTAGTACTATGGTAGCAGGTGTTAGTACCATGGTAGTAGATGTTATAGTACTATGGTAGTAGGTGTTAGTACTATGGTAGTAGGTGTTAGTACTATGGTAGTAGATGTTAGTACTATGCTAGTAGGTGTTAGTACCATGGTAGTAGGTGTTAGTACTATGCTAGTAGGTGTTATAGTACTATGGTAGTAGGTGTTAGTACTATGCTAGTAGGTGTTAGTACCAT